AATTAATTTAATATTTGAACTTAGACCTGTTAATTATCTAGTGAAATTCAAAATCAAATGACATAAATAAAGAGTTGAGCATAGTTCAAGTATTTTTAAGATTGAGTTCAAGTTATTTACAAGCCTAATTAAGATTTTAAATTTTTTAAATATAATTAATATATGTTGTATAAATAATAATAATTCATTTACATATTAAAATTTTATTCAAGTTTTAAATTTTGAATTAAACTCAAACTTTAGTCAAATTGGGGATCAATCTTTATTTAATTTGACAATAACAAAGTCAAGTAAATTTGAGTCAATTTTTATTAAATATGTTTTGTTATTAACACTTACATATATTACTTTTTTAATGTTCTATATCATTATTATTATTATTATTATTATTATTATTACATTTGATATTTAAATTATAGTTTATCAATATTATAAAAAATTTAAAAAATATTAAAATCATGTTTTATTTTGTACCAAGCCAAAAGTAGATATTCAATTTAAAACAAAGAGATGAGAAATTTTGCAATTTTTTAAAATATTTTATAATTCATTAATTCAAAATGATAACATTTATAATTATATTGTTTAGATAAGTATTTTATAGAATGAAGTTCTGAGTATTGGAATTTGATGAGATAAAAAAATTATAAAAGAAAAATATTGATGTCATGGATAAAAAAATAAATAAAATGAGAAAAATATGCCGTACGGGTGTTATTAGGTTTGTAAAATGTATAGATATTATTAATAATATGAAAAAATCTAAAAATATATTTTAAATATGAGTGATTAGGGATAGACTTAAAAAAATTACCCATAAAAAGAAAACATAATAAATGTTGATAGCTTAATATAAAATTGAGGAATTTGAGCCTTCCAAAATTTGTCATTGAAATTTCAAGAATTTTGACAATTTCAATTTTTATTTTTCCTAATAAAATAATTTTATTTTAAAATTTATAGAATTTCTCTTCAAATAAAATTGTTTTTTGGAAATCCCTTGTCCAAACGCACCCTTAAAAAAATATAAATGTAAAACTTAAAAATTTTTTACTTTTATCTTCTATGACCAAATATAGAAAGGGCAATGATTCTCTTTTGGCCAAAATAGTAACCGTAAAAAAATAACTCACAAAAATTTTGTGCTCAAAATGGTAAAATACATCTCATTACACCAAATCAAATCCTAAAACCCTTCCGCTTTTGGCCACGAAGCCTCTCTCCCCCTTAAACCCTAAACCCTCCCCAAAAGAAAATCAGAATCATCATTTCTTCCTCCAATGGCAATGTCCTCACTAGCTATCAAAGCTCGAGCGAAAGCCAACCCACTCCTAACATGGCGAGCCCTCCGTTTCCGCACCATCTGCAGCGGCGGTCTCGGTTTCGCCACGTCTGAGTCCGACCCGCCCGACCCACCAGTGGCAGGGACCAAGTTTCTTGAGTCATTTAAAGAAGAGTTCGAAATGGGATCTAGGGTAATTTCACTTGAGACCGGTAAAATTGCTCGTTTTGCTAATGGGGCTGTCGTTTTGGGCATGGAAGAGACCAAAGTTTTGTCCACTATTGCTGCCGGTAAAGGCGACGCTGTTCGAGATTTTTTACCCCTCACTGTAAGTTATATACTCAATCTTCTCTTTTGATATGGGGTAATTTGGATTTTCTGTATTTTAGCTTTCATTTGGCGCGAAATGCAATGTTGGCTCATTGTTATAATAGTATATTTATTCCAATATCAAGATTTCAAGGTTGCTTAATTAGTTAGTATATTTATTGGTGAAGAATGTTTCGACTGATGGGTTGGGAGAAAGAATAATTCGACGCTTTTAAAGGGCTATGAATGCTGACTTTCTAAGGTTGCTGTTGGTTGCTTTTCTTAATTTTTGCCCTTTTGCTTCGTTAAAAGTTGTCATATAGAGTAAAGTAAACATTAGAAAGTAAAATCATGATGAACAAATGAATAGAATGCGACTCCAAATTAACACAATTGTCTTATGCATGTAAAACCATGCATTTCTCTATTTAGAAAAATTCATTTTTAGTTCTTTAAAATATTTTCTGCATTTGTAACTAGACACACTTTTTGCCTTTTGATTTTGAAGCAAAAAGCAGTAGCAAAATAACGACAAAGTGGACTCTATTAAATCTCTATTGGTTTCCATTTGGATTTTGTTGGTAGATTCATTTTCTTGGATGATAGACACCTCTTGTGCGTATGTTAGGTTCATTACTATGTGGTCTTAATGGGTTTTTCTTCTTATAAGGTTGATTATCAAGAGAAGCAATTTGCTCAAGGTGTGATTCCAAATACATTCATGCGGAGGGAGGGTGCTCCAAAAGAACGTGAACTTTTGTGTGGTCGCCTCATTGATAGGCCCATACGGCCTCTTTTTCCTGCTGGTTTTTACCACGAGATCCAGGTCTGATGTTACCTTTCAGATTCAAATGTGTGCATGTATATGTATTTCAGAATTTCATTTTATTGATCTTGCCTGATTTAATAGGTAATGGCAAGTGTTCTTTCTTCTGATGGTAAACAAGATCCAGATGTGATGGCAGCTAATGCGACATCTGCTGCTCTTATGTTATCAGATATTCCATGGGGTGGACCCATTGGAGTTGTGCGAATTGGGAGAATTTGTGGGCAGTTTATTGTTAATCCAACTATGGATGAGGTATTAACACAAGCTTTTATTAGTTCCGGATACTGATTTAGGTATCACTTTTATTGTTATCACAGGTAGCAAGTGCAGAGTTTGGCTCAATGTAATTGCCAAGTTACTCATCATTTCCTGTATATGGTAAAAAAGTTAGTGAAAATGGTTATAAGTTAGTTATTAGACACACATCGTAAAGGTATCTCATTGCAGAGTTCTTGCATATGCATGGAATGTTTAGTTATGTAATTGTTAATTCAGTGTGTTATCTCCCTTGAAAGTAGATCATCAGGTTGAACAGCATTTTCAGTAATGGAAAATGACTAAAGTGCTTATTGGAATGTTGGGTAGATAAAATGAGGTATTGTGGGGGTGGTGGGGGGGGGGGGGGAGGGAATAAAGCTGTCCTACAATGGCCTGTGGTTACACGATTGTATAATAGTTTGTTTATCCATTCAGGTTTACACATACTGCTATTTTTCCTTAGATTCTGGAGGACTGTCAGATATGCTATTATGGTATTTTGTGTATGGTAAGATGGTGCTTTCAAGGTACTAATTAAGGGTTGTAAGAATACTTGGAATGCAACCTTCTTTAGGGACCAAGACTGCTCTCAATATTTTATGCAGTGTCAATCTTCCCCCCTCCTGGAATCTGGATTACTTTTTTTTAAGTTTACCCTCAAGATGATTTAGTATGATGTTCCCTGATATTTTCTTTCCTTTCCTTGTCTGAGTTTGCTGAAGAATGGTTTTATCTCTTTCCTAGTTTGTTATCATTTATTGGGTTCTGCTCTGGTCCTTTGCTGTAATGTTAATGCCTCAAACTCACAATGTTAATTGTTGTTTTTTGAGCGAGAATGGTTGTTAATGAGTTTGTCTACCTATGTTGAAGTTGCTTTTAAGCTTTGTAAACCTCTGCAGATCTGCAGACAATGACCTTGATATGTCAGTTTTCCTTATCCTCTGATCAGTGCTTATTTGGTAATGCAGCTAAGTTTAAGTGATCTCAACTTGGTATATGCCTGTACAAGGGACAAAACCTTGATGATAGATGTTCAAGCTCGTGAAATCTCCGAAAAAGATTTAGAAGCTGGTTTAAGACTGGCTCATCCAGAAGTGAGTCACGAGACTTCTAACAAGTTTTCATTGTGTCTGTCAATTAAAGGAAGAGGCCATTAAGATGGGTTTATTGATTCAGGCAGTTAAATATCTTGAACCTCAAATCAGACTGGCTGCGAGAGCTGGCAAACAAAAGAAGGAATACAAATTGTCCATGGTCTCAGAACAAACTTTTGAAAAAGTCAGAAACCTGGCAGAAGAACAAATAGAAGCTATTTTTACTGATCCTTCCTATGGCAAGGTGAATACATTTCTTCTTTATTCCATTCTTTCACTCTAGATGTGTATATGTGTATTTATATGTACAGATGCACTAGAATGACCTCTTTTTAATGTATGCTTGAGTTTCATGCTTTGGAAATTTTGAATAATATAGTTTGAACGTGGAGAGGCTCTAGAGAAGATAACACAAGATGTAAAAATCGCCCTTGAAGAAGAATGTGATGAAGAAAGCTTAAAAGTTCTGCCAAAGGTTGTAGACACTGTCAGGAAACAGGTGAGCTGTGCCTTGGAAAAGTGTAAGGAAATCTGTTTGGTTTATTTATATCATAAATTTTCATGATTGTTTTAAAATTTTCTTTTTTCTTTTATTCTCCAATTATTTTAAATCCTTTTTTTTTCCTTTTATTTTTCTCCTTTAAGCTTGATTTGGATAAAGCCGTACAATGTTTTTTTTTTTTTTGCTTTAACAAAAGATTGGATCACATAATAAAGTATACCTAAAGCATTCTCTGTGATCTTGAGCAACCTATAAGTTTCTGACAAGGAACAGATGGGAAATAAAGGTTAACACCACAAAAAATTGCCACTAGGGGGTTGCAAATCAGATGATTCTGTTACTTCACCCTTACATTTTTGCCTATCCTTGTTC